CCTTCCACCCGTTAAACAGCCCGAGAACCCCCTTTTTCTGTCCCCCCCTGTGTTCTTCACCCTAAAAATGCAAAAAGTTGTTTCAAAGTTCGTCATTTAGATACAAAAAATATGTTAAAAACACAGTGGGTGCGTTCCAAATTTTAGCTTTAATTTTTGGGAAAGTGGGGGAAATTTGGAAAAACTTGTCACAATTCAACCCCGGGAAGGGGTCTGGAAAAAACTCTGAAAAAAATTTGTTAGGTGTTTTAGTGCTTTTGCGAAAATCGGTAATGAAAAGACTGGCCCAAAAGGCTTTTGAAAAAAGGGGTTCAAAGTTATGTGGGTTGTTAGGAAAAATGTTCTGTAGAAGTTATGAAAAAATAAAAAATAAAATGAAAACCTCGGGGCCAAATTTTTTGAGCATTAAAAAATCCTTTGAGTAAAATGTTATTCCAAACAGTGGTTTATTTTCAAATTTTAGATTAAATATGATTTTTCTTTGGGTTTTAATCAAGAATTGCCATTTTGACTAAAGCATTATATTGTTAATATAACAAAGAACTTGAGATATTTCCAGTACAATTTATGTGATTTTCTGTACAGAACTTATCCTTTTGATAGAATTGATTTATAGTCACTATATTGCATTGTTCAAACACCAGGTATTTTTGCCAAGTGTATGAACTTTCAGATTTGATGAGCAGTACATATTTGTAGAGTTTCTGAGCATGAAACTATGCTTGTGTTTATATACAATGATGTAATCTTATGGTACAGTAACTGGGGCATTTAATGGTATAGTTAGAATTGATAAAAGTACAATAATTCTCACTAGTCAGTATTTTGTATTACAATTTTTGAGCCTACATTTAGTTGTTATTTTTCTGTACGGTTGCTTGCGATTTTTTGTATGATAACTTGCGAGCAGAAATTTTGTTACACCTTTGCAATTCCTTTGTTAGATTTTTGTTTTGCAAGTATTTGTTTATGTCATATAGTGATACAATTCAAAGTAAATTATATCAGGCAGGGAGTGTAACGTCACCTCTAGGAGGTGTACTGCTTCATTGACTGCCGTACTGTACGAGTGTTCCGTAAAGACGGAATTTATACTTATCAAGTTATCCGAAGTTATCGCCCTTTGAAATGTTTACGACGTTTGTAATCACGTTTTGCGGATGCAGTCCAGGACTGCCGTTACAAAACATACAAATATAATAGTCTTATGGCCCCCTTGGTGTAAGTTTGACCTGTTTTTGTTACTTCTATGTTTTATGATAATTGCCTACATGTAAATTGTTTTGATAAGATATTAAATTAGCTTGTATATGTGAATTTACGGTCAAATTTTCTAAGGCTTGAATAAAAGCCAGTATACGGTATAGATTTGTCCGGTCGAAGGTTTAGGTCAGAGTTCACTAAATTTTAGGTTGAACACCTATGACTGTTTTATCATTTAGTAAGCATTGTATAAGACTGTGTAATATTGAAACTATAGTGTGAGACTGATTGCTGTAATTTTGTGCAGATAATTGTATGTTAAGGTGCATAATACTTATGGTATCTTTTCATTTGTATTTTTCAGTGATTTACTGATTGATTGATTATATACAAGGAACAGTAAAGTTAAGAACTTATCAGCGTCTTTGTTTATAAAGTCCTGGACTTTCATAATAGATGTATATGCACATTTTCATAGTTTTGATTTGTACAGTCGTACAATGGATGATTGGCAAGCACAAAAACTTAGTTATATAAGTTTCGAAAAATATAATTAAAAACAAACATTAAAAATAATGTTTCATTAAGATTCGAACCTACAACATTTAATTATAAACATAAAGTTTTAACTCCTTACTAAACATGAACCATGTATACCATTCATAAAATATAAGTCATATTCCGTATCTTCTGTCCACAACGGATATGACTTTTATAGAACGTAATCCGAATATAACTTAAAACTTTTTTATTTGTGGATCAAATTTAACGATATTCTGCATGTAAATCATTTTATTATTATAAAACATCTTATCGAGAAAAAATCATAAAAAATAATCATTTCATAAAAAATAAGTCATATTCGGCATCTTCTGTCTGCCACGGAGAATGTCAGACGTTTCACTCCCAAGACATTTCACTATTGAGACGTTTCACTCCCAAGACGGTTCACACCTAGACGTTTCACTCCCATTTTGTCAATTGTATGGACGTTTCACTCCCAATTTTTTAGAGATGTTTACTAGAAAAGTTAAAAAAATTTTAATTTCATTAATATCAAACAGTGTAAAAAGGAAATTCATTATAATGTTTCATTAAGTCTTAAACAATGAAATGCGAAACATGTGTATAAAATAAATTATTTTTTAAAATTATTTTCTTCATCAATTTATTAAACAGTAACCATTAAACAAACTTAAGTAATTGTGGTGTTATCTCATCGCCTAATTAATTGTATAAACACTGAGACTATCAACTAACAGTTTGACACCACTATTAAATCAGTTGTATAAACACTGCACTAAGCATCAACAGTTTACTAATCAGTTGTTTATTGGACTATTAAAATATTTTTTGACAACATCCAATTTAAACACAGAAACTTCTCCATAAGTAGCAATGCTACGCTCGCTAGATGGCGCTGCGCAACGAAGTGCGCAGACCAATGAAAATGTCTGACCTCAATAAATCGGGAAACCCATGACGTTTTTGCCTGTAAATTATTCTTAGACAACAGTTCGTTGGTCAGTAAAAATAGTTGCATTTATAAATAGAAACATTAATTAATGTGTAACCGTATTTTTATATCGTTGAACCCGCACCTTTCTAAACGAAATCAAATTGGAAAGAAAAGATTTGCAAATATTTTTCACTTTCAAACCCATTACACTCAAGTAAATGTGCGTTTCTTATGAAATAATTATCAATCTTTCGAATATACCCTTTAATTTCAACATTGGACCTGGACAAAGTATTTATTTTTGAAGATTTGTGACCTGCGTGCAATAGTGTACCTTATCTTGGACACTCATTGAAAACAGCGGTAAATTTGAGAGCAATCCGAAAGTCGTACTGTCAACTTCCTGTTTGTGAAAAAACGAAACAGATTATACATATTTCAGATATTTTCTGCGAGTGAAGAAGTATTTCCCTTAGTGTAAGTTGTAATAATGTTGCAATAACTCCTGTTTTATAAGAACTGTTCACAGTTTATTATGACAATGCTCAGATAAAGAAATATGGCCAGTTTTCAGTGATTGGGTCAGTGGGTGGGGAAACGAATAGTTCTGGCTTCCAAAACTTTATAAGCCGCTTTTTAACATTTTTGTTTTTCATCAGATGCGGCATTAAAGTTTTGGATTAGACCCGTTACGAAACCTAACCAGAATAACCTAAGTTGATTTATTCTTGTTTTTCACTTGCAAATACACTTGACCCGATCAATTCTTGTGCATTTTACGGTAAAACAATTATTTAAATATCGTTCTATACCAATTCAAGTAATAAAATATTAATACCGTCATTAAAATTGCCATTTTAACTGTAAAACATCAATTTTCGCCGACTACAGTCGGCCATGACATTCAAGTGTCAAGCGAGACCTCGTATGACGTCATTCGCGGGAACAGATTTGAATAGAGTTGTGTACTATATTTAGAACAATTTGTTGACATGATTTCAATATTTTTATTCAAGATAATGTTTTTATTTATTTTCATTAATTTTTTAGTATTTAAATATGATTTTATTGAATATAACAGTCAGTAAATAACCTTTTTCAACATCTTAAAAAAAAGTAATCTATAAAAATATTGGAGGCACATGGGTTCATAAAGGTCAATCTCGTAATCACGTGGTCAAACATTTTGGCAATATGGCGGCCAAGTGCCGAAATTTTTACCTGTCGGAAACTATTAGGTAGTTTATGTTCCTAATAAGATTTTTATTTGTCCATCCTTCGCTTATCAACAGATTATATATTGTTTTATCAAGGTATGCTTCACTTTACTTCGTGGCATGTGCGATAAATAAATACGAGCGTGTCAGATTCCTGGCACGATTATTGGTGGACTTTCCCTACGGGGTTATCTTCAGCGTTCACGTCATGTCATATATATAAACGGGTACGCTGAAGACCTTAAGCTAGGAAACGAATTGATATTGCCATTATTGGCACTGAATCAGTGATTACTATACACTAGGCCATTAAAATTAGTGTTCTAAAATTCTGTTTTATTTATTTGATATGCACGATGTAACAGTAATGACATGGTGTTTTATTTCAGTTTTTTCATGTTTCAGTTAAAATTTCTTTAAGTTATATTGCATAATTTTAAATATTAAAAGTATCTTTACATTGTAACTCAAAATTAATTTTTTCAACAAACAAGAACTTTTAGAAAATGATGATTGTTTCAGACGTATGCACAAATTTAATGGACTATTGTTGCTTTTTGCAGAAGTTTGTAAAATGTTGTTCAGTTTTACGTAAAAATCTATAGATTTAGGTTATTTTGCACAAAAACTTTGTTGTTAAGGTGTTTGAATAAAATATGTCAATTCTGACCAATTATAACAATGGTCACATGAAAATACGCCATTACCGTGAGCTAAGTGATGACGCGGAATTAGTGATGTTGAGTATAATGAATTTTAGTCACAAAAAATGATTATACATGACAAATATTGAAAAAGACCCAAGTATATCATAAGTATCAAAATAATTTTGGTATAAAAAGGGAGTGAAACGTCAAGGTGTGAACCGTCTCAATAGTGAAATGTCTGTCTACCTGCCACGGATATGTCATATGACTTTTTATAGAACGTAATTCGAATATAACTTATAACTTTTTTATTTATGAACCGAATTTAACGACATTTGGCATGTAAATTCATTTTATTATTATAAAACATCCTATCAAGAAAAAATTATAAAAAAATAATTACTTTTTAAAAAATAGGTCATATCCGCGGATATGACTCATATCCGGTATTAAGTCATACCCAAAAATAATTACCTCATTTGGTTTCATTTGGAATTAATTCATATCCAATTTTAAATCCAACACTCCATATGGAGTAATCTTTATCTAACTAAATACATCAGTATAAATATATATATATCATTCAACACGTAAAGTGTATCACATCGAGATATACGTATAAAATATTTAACACCAGTAACTGAATAACACTGCTGTAGAGTTGGCGATGATGCCGGAACCGGAAGTTACACATATTTGTCAGCGAACGATAATAGTTTAATTGACTATGCTATATGCTCGGAGGATTTATTTCCCCTGGCTTCAAATTTTATAGTACATTATGATTTATATTCTTTTTCACCACATTGTCCTATCCAAATTGATTTAAATGTAAATAGTTATGAACAATGTAATGTTACAAATAATAGATTCTACTATATTATGTGAAAAAATTGTATGGGATAATGAAAAAGTTGATTATTACAGAGACGTTATATCTGCTGAACTGTCTAATATAAATGACATTGTTAGTTGTATTGTTTCAAAAGAAACTAATGTTAGCGCTGGAATAAATGAAATATCTAATATTTTGTATGATAAAACTAAAAGTGTTTTTGGTAAAACTACGTGTAATAAAATATCCGCCTGTGGAACCAGCTTCCAGAGCACCTAGTCACAGCAGTCAACCTTGAGGCTAGTCATGGGGCCCTAATATGCCGGAGTCGATTTTATTTTTAACATGTTCTTCTTTTAAATCTGCACTTATTCGCCGCACATCACTTTGTACATACACCCTGTACGTCAATGCTCCAGAGTGGGTTATGTACAGTATTGGAAGAAGAAGAAGAAGAAGAAGAAGAAGAAGAAGAACAGCAATATAAGTAACAGAACGTATTTATAAGAGCCCATGGTTTAATAAAGAATGTGAGGCCGCTAGGCGAGAATTTAGGACTGTTAATAAGTCTCTTCAGAGACATAGATAACAGAGATAGGCAACTTCCTAACCAGTTAAAATATCATGCGTTCCTGTTAAACTTAAAACTTGTAGCAAGTAAAACTTATTAACCAGATATCAAAATCAGGAAAATAATTTCTTGCATATCAGACTGGCGTTTCCGTGAGTTTTACCCATGCCGGAAATTTCATCTGGCATGGGGGGTGCCAGATGAGTCGCGTGCCAAACAACAACGTCATTTTTGCGCGCTTTATGAATGAACCGCGTTAAAATGACGTCGTTTTAGAAGGGAAATATGTGCTAAGGATGACGTCAGTTCGCCGTTGTTATATTTAAGTTGTAAGTTCATACGCTATTGTAAGAAAATAGTTATGGATGAAATGACTTTAATTTCCATGAACATATATCATATTGAGGTAAACCATTTTAGATATGAAATAATATGGCAGAATATGCAAGAAAAAATATCTAACATATGTTGGCGGTTCGGATCGGAATATCCGTCCCTCGGGAACCCGCCCAATGGGCGGGTCCCCTCGGGACGGATATTCCGGTCCGAACCGCAACATATGACAGATATTATTAACATTTTCTGAAAGCTTATGCATTTGTCTATGGCTGCAGGTAAAAATATTTACAGTTCTTATTTAAATAAATGATACATCGATTTTTAAAGAGAACTACTTATTAATTTTTGTTACAAAACTATTCATGTGATGAAAAAACTGGCTCAGTGGGTATGTTCTGCTATGTTTTTCTAAGTGAAAGGCATGGAAAGTTACCAATATTTTAACATGCAGCTATAGATAAAAGATTTACCTTTCAAATGGTATATAATATTAAAGGATAAAATGTACATCCATAAAGTTTTATTTGCTACAAAATGCCTAATTTTTCACTTTTTTATGGGCATGACTGATATTTCAATGGAGTATATAGGAGCTGCTTATCTCTGTTATCTGCTTGTCTCTGGTCTCTTAAACAAATTAAATCTGTAGAAAATTTTGAATTGTTAAAAACTAAACGACGAGTATATAAAAAAGCTAAAAGAAAAGCACGGTCTGACTTTAATGGGAAACAGAGAACAAAACTACAAAATTTAGCCAAGCACCAGCCTCAAAAGTTTTGGCAAGAAATACGAAAAATTAAAAACAAAAAATCTAAAGCTGGAGATATTTCTGAAGAACATTTTTTCAATCATTTTAAAACATTATAAAAATAGTGCTTTTATTAATAATGAAGTTGAGGATGAATTGGGCCAGAAAAGCTTAGATGAATATGTTATTGAACAACTTGATAAAGAATTTAGTATTGATGAGGTAAATTCAGCCATTTCTTCTTTGAAAAGAGGTAAAAGTGGAGTTGTAGATATGTTGGTTAGTGAAATATTTATAGAATGTAGTGATCTTTAACTTCCTTGTCTTTATAACTTGTTTAATTTTATGTTTCTTAATAGTGTATATCCTGAGATATGGACAAAAGGTATGATAGTTCCAATCCCCCAAAAAGGTAATGTTGATGATGTAAATAACTATAGAGGTATTACCCTCACCAGTGTTTTTTTTCTAAAATATTTTCTACAATGTTAGATACACGTTTGCGCAAGTGGGCCGAAACTAACAATTTGTTATCGGAGTACCAGTATGGATTTCGTAACGGCAAAAGCACCATATATTGTATTTTTGTTTCAAATTCTATAATAAATAAAGTTATAAATAGTGAGAAAAAGAAATTATATTGTGCTTTTATTGATTTTCGTAAAGCATTTGATGTTGTATATAGAAATGGTATTTGGTTAAAATTATTGAATTATGGAGCTTCCTCTAAAATTGTCAAAATGTTGAAAGTTATGTATGAGAATGTTAAAGCATGTGTTAGAGTTAATGGGTCTGTAACTGATTATTTTGACTGTAATAATGGTGTTAAACAAGGCGAACCATTATCTCCTTTGTTGTTTATCTTTTTTATCAATGATATGTATGAATATTTGTATGACGATAATGTTGAGATGTTTACGTTAGAAGAGATGAAATTATTTCTGTTTTTGTTCGCCGAGTTTTCATATACGAAAAGTGGTTTACAATTGTTACTAGATAAACTATATACGTATTGTCATGAATGGGGAATCACTGTTAATCCAGAAAAATCAGTTGTTATGATATGTAAAAAAAGGTACTAGACAAGAAAATGATGTATTTATGTATAATGATCAAATTTTGAAATGTGTTAATAAATTTACTTATCTAGGTGTATCTATTTCGTCAAACGGTAGCTTGTTTCAAGCACAAAAATCTTTGTCAGAACAAGCTTTAAAGGCCCTTTACTCACTTAATTCGCTTTTTGATAACGTGTCTCTAGAAATATCGGAAAAGTTAAAATTATTTGCCTATTCTCAATTATGGTTCTAAAGTATGGGGTTTGCATAATGCACCAGACATAGAACATGTTCATAAAAAGTTTTTGAAACAACTTCTGGGTGTTAGACAGCAAACATCAAATGCGGCTGTATAATGGTGAATTTGGAAGGGTACCTTTATTAATATTACGCAAAATACGTGTTGTAAAATATTGGTATAGAATAGTTAAACAACCTGATTCTCTTATGTATAAATTGTTAATGATGAATGATAGAAATAATCAATATGCTAATAAATGGTCGATTGAGGTTAGAAAATTGTTTCAGAATTTAGGATTTGCTAATATTTTTGATAACCCCAATGTTATTGATTTAAAAACCATCATTCAACGTATATATGATCAATATAATCAACGATGGTTAACGGAAATTTGTAATTCATCAAAATTAGAGACGTATAAGATTATAAAAGATAGTTTTGATTTTGAAAAATACCTTTCTTTAGTAAAAAATCCAAAGTTTAGAATAGCTTTGTCACGATTTAGATGCTCAGCACATAGACTTATGATAGAAGAAGGTAGATTTAGGAATATTGACAGAGATCAGAGAATTTGTTTAAAATGTAATATGAATGAAATTGAAACAGAATATCACTTTTTATTTGTTTGTCCTTTTTATAGGGAATTAAGGAAAGAACATTTACCAAAATATTATTGCTCTTGGCCTACCTTAAATAAATTTATATCTTTAATGAAAAATTCTAAGCATGGAACTGTTAATAGATTATCAAAATATATCTACTTTGCAAATGCATTACGTGATAGAACGAATGATTGATTGTTTTCAAATAATGATATTGGTATATATAGCATACTTTTATTTACAAACATATATTGAAATACAATGTATAATTATGTGTTCTTTAAATATAAAAATGTTAATGTAAAAATTATTTGTATTCAGTTACATACTTTTCTCCTATACTATTTGTAACCGTCATTCTGTTTATGGCGACGGACATTGTAAAATGTTTATGCCTTTTGAAATAAAATCTTGAATCTTGAAATCTTTTAAATAAGATCACCGTTTATGATCCGATTGAATTGAGATGTTCCGGTTGGTTAGTGATTCTTGACGAGTTAAATTTTACAGTATTTAAATTTGAATACATAACGGCTATTATTCATTCATGTAAAAGGAGATAAAACGATCAATATTAGGTATTGAAAAATACATACAACATACACGGTCATTTCCCTGTACAAAAATATTCCAAGTAGATCTATTTTAAATTCTTTTTTAATTAAAAGTGACGCTTTATGAAAAATAAAATATTAAGTTATTTGAATTTTATAATTAACTGTTTATATGACAAGTATACCCCCCCCCTGCCATAATGACAGTATAGTCCTTCATTTTCTAATTCTCTTGGCTTAAACGAAAATAATCATTTATGCAAGATAAACAACAACACAAGAATATGATAAAGGTATTCATTGAGAAAATAAGGAAAGATTAAACAACAGCCTCTCCCTTATCAGAAAAATCAAAGATTTGTCTCCCCCATACCTAACTCCCGTAAAATTTCATGTACAAACTCTTTTGTAAAGTAGATGAGCTTAGATCAAGATCTTTTTAATGCACAGTAATTATAAAACTTCAGATTTGAAACAGAGAGAGAGATTCATACTAGTATACGTGACCTGCATTGTCGTTTTTACTTGTTTGGGTCGTCAGACCAAACAAATAATGGTAGCGAAATTTCAGAGTCTAATGCTGTTAATTGCAAATGCCGAAATTAGTCCACATTTTTGAAGCGGTTACTTCCCTTTATATGTACACTAACGCCGAAAAATTCAGGGGAGATCACTGCGTAAAGATTGTCAAAGACAGGCACATTAATTTTCATGCAAAATAATTCCCGAATGGTCGAAGATTTCTAATATTGTTTTATTGTATTTTCTGATCGAAATAAGTAAATACAAAGCGGGCATTGAATCTCTGACACAGAAGTTTACGACAAACCTAACAACAAGTAGTTCTCAAAACAGCTTAAAACTAGCGATTTAAAAGAAAGAAATATTTTTATTTTGTTACAAGTATCCAACAAATTACAACGCATTCAAAGTTTAAAAATAGCGTTGGCTTATATAATTGTCAATAAATGCACAATCACAAATTACGCGGATGAATATGATTTTATCAATGAAAATACTATTTTTAGCGATACCGATTACCGAATACTACACAAACCGAGTAG